CATTCAAAAATCATATTGTCAGGAAAGCATTGTTTAATTTCTGGATAAGATATAAAGATTTATTGGAAAATAAAACCCCAAGGTGGCTGTCACCAATGGAAGCAAAAGCTCTGAAAAGGCTCAATATGGAGGCCAAATGGCCGACATATTGGGAAATTTTGGAACAAGAAGGAGATAAATTGAGATTGCAGAGTTTCGAAAAACTAAAAAACAAAGTGAGAGATTGGCTTCATTACTATCAGATAATGGAGGCATATAATTTGGATAAGAAAATTGGCTTCCAGGTGGAAAAGTCAAAATTAGAAACAGAACTGCTAGAACCCAAAACTAAGAATCTGTCAAGAATGTATAACTTGCTGTTGAAATGGAATACTCAGGATGAAACGGTGAAATAAATATCATTTAAAAAAAAAAAAACAGACTGACCCCCTCAATCCCAACACCTTTATTACCACCTTGACCGACGCATCAAGGTGTGAGCTGCTCACACAACACACGGCCTGCTCCCTCCTCTACCGAGTGCATTCCTGTCCTTCTGCCCCTCCAACTTGTGTGTGCTGACAGTTTTTTCTTCTTATTAAAAAAGTGACCTTCTTTCCACAAAGTTGGGATGCTCATAAACATTCTGTAATCTCCCCCGCTGAGCCCAAAGACCAGGGAGGCCTTGTTAATCCGTTGACTGAAGCCAGTGCTCTACATCGGTGAGGTTTCAAACGCCGCTGTCTGTGCACACTTGACCTCAGAATTTGCTTCCCACCTTCTGGGTCAAACAGATTCACTAAACGGTTGTTTCTCCAGCTCTCAAGCGCCACGCGGGGTCAGTTTTCGGCTTGCAAAATAGGTATATGGATTTCCGTTTAGCTGAACTCCGGCGTGAGCCAGGATACGCTGTTTTCAAGGCTGGATTCATGCTGGAATAAATCAACACCTGGGCTTGGCAAACGGGAGGTGGGAGACGTCAGGGTGCAATAATAGGAGCACTTGTGCCTGCGTGAAGTGTCGAGATTTGGGCTGTCAGCGAGCCAGCCGCCTCCAAGCTGCCAGCGAGAGGCGTGCAATAGTTTCCCCGGCTGCTCCGGGCCTCCTCTGTCTCTCCCCATCAGGGGATACATTTTTCAGCCCGGCAAAGGCCGCTTAGTGAGCTCATGGGCGCCCTGATTCTGACGGCGCCATGGTTCTCCTCGGACACTCGGAAAGCCTGTGGAAGCAGCAGGGCGTAGACAGGGCAGACCGTAAGTGCTCCCCACACCCCTAAGCTGGGTCTTGCCAGTGGAATCATAGAAATGTAGAGTTGGAAGGGACCTCCAACGGTCATCTAGACCAACCCCTTGGAAAGTCACTGCCCACAAGTGATTACTTCCAATTATGCCGTCTATATACAGTCATACCTCGGGTTGACTGTGCTTCAGGTTGAGCGCTTTCGGGTTGCGCTCCGTGGCAACCTGGAAGTAACGGAGCGCACTACTTCTGGGTTTCGCCACTCGCACATACGCAGATGCTCAAAATGACATCACGCGCATGCGCTGAGGCGGCAAAACGCAACCTGTGCACGCGCCATCACGTCTTACATTCCATTCAGGATGTGAATGGGGCTCCAGAACGGATCCTATTTGCATCCCGAGGTATCACTGTATATGTGTGTGTGTGTGTGTGTGTGGAGAGAGACGGGCTGTGCCTGGAAGGGGGTATCTGAGAACTTTTTGGGGGACTCCAGTTACAACAACAACAACAACAACAACAACAACAACAACTTATATATCCTCCGCCCATCTGGTTGGGTTTCCCCAGCCACTCTGGGAGGTTCCGAACAGAATATTAAAAACACGATAAAACACCAAACATTAAAAGCTTCCCTAAACAGGGCTGCCTTCAGATGTCTTCTAAAAGTCAGGTAGTTGTTTATCTCTTTGACATCTGATGGGAGGGCGTTTCACAGGGAGGGTGCCACCACCGAAAAGGCCCTCTGCCTGGTTCCCTGTAACTTTGCTTCTCGCAATGAGGGAACCGCCAGAAGGCCCTCGGCGCTGGACCTCAGTGTCCGGGCAGAATGATGGGGGTGGAGACGCTCCTTCAGGTATACTGGACTGAGGCCGTTTAGGGCTTTCAAGGTCAGCACCAACACTTTGAATTGTGCTCGGAAACGTCCTGGGAGCCAACGTAGGTCTTTCAAGACTGGTGTTATGTAGTCTCGGCAGCCTCTCCCAGTCACCAGTCTAGCTGCTGCATTCTGGATTAATTGCAGTTTCCGGGTCACCTTCAAAGGTAGCCCCACATAGAGCGCATTGCAGTAGTCCAAACGGGAGATAACTAGAGCATGCACCACTCTGGTGAGACAGTCTGTGGGCAGGTAGGGTCTCATCCTGCGTACCAGATGGAGCTGGCAGACAGCTGCCCTGGACACAGAATGGACCTGCGTCTCCATGGACAGCCGTGAGTCCAAAATGACTCCCAGGCTGCGACCTGGTCCTTCAGGGGCACAGTTACCCCATTCAGGACCAGGGAGTCCCCCACACCTGCCCGCCCCCTGTCCCCCCAAAACAGTACATCTGTCAGCTCCGGGTGGCATGGCTCCCCAAGGCCATAAGGGAATAGGAAACTGCTGTGCCAATCCAAGCTGGACGGCTGCCTGCCAGGGATTCTTGAGTGGCAATCTCTGCATTGCAGGGGGTTGGACTAGATGACCCTCAGGAGTCCCCCTACCGACTTTACGATTCCCTGATTCTGTGATTGGATTCAGGAGTCCCCATCCCCCAGACACTTCGCCGCCCCCCCCATCCCCGCCATCCCTCTCCAAGGAAGCATGAGCGCAAGAAACTGCAATGTCATGGAAGATGTGAGTGCTGCCGGTTGCCATGGAGACGCTGATGAAAATATCTGTTAAGGTGCTCAGAGGGAGAAGGAGACACAGCTGTCGAATTCAGACTCACAACGCAGCCCCTTGTCTGGTACACCTCGTCCCCTCATGCTCCCCCCGCCCCCATTCCTACGCTCAAGTAGGGGGAGCTATGGGGAGAGGATGCCCTGGAAGACCACGTAAGGAAAATGTTCCTGAATGCTATTAATTTCCAAAATCAAAGGTGATTTATTTGGGGGGGGGGGCGGCGCAGAGGTGTGAGGTCTTCCAGAAGTCAGTGTCTCTCTCTAACCCTGGCTGTCTTTGCTGTGTTGGGCTACTGTGGGAAGGCACTCTGTGCATGCTCAGTAGCCCCAGCTCCAGGTCTGCCCTTCCATGGTTGGACGAGGGAATTTGAAGTCCGGACTCTCCAAGCTCCTAAGGTAAAGGGACCCCTGACCATTAGGTCCAGTAGTGGATGACTCTGGGGTTGCGGCGCTCATCTCGCTTTACTGGCTGAGGGAGCCGGCGTACAGCTTCCGGGTCATGTGGCCAGCATGACTAAGCCGCTTCTGGCGAACCAGAGCAGCGCACGGAAATGCCGTTTACCTTCCCGCCGGAGCGGTACCTATTTATCTACTAGCACTTTGATGTGCTTTCGAACTGCTAGGTTGGCAGGAGCAGGGACCGAGCAACGGGAGCTCACTCCGTCGCGGGGATTCGAACCGCTGACCTTCTGATCGGCAAGCCCTAGGCTCTGTGGTTTAACCCACAACGTCACCCGCGTCCCTACCTCCAAGCTCATAGTCCTCATTTATTTCCCACAACAACCCTGCGAAGTAGGTTAGGTTGCAAGGCAAAGGCTGGCCTTAAGGTGACACCCGGTGAGTTTCATATTTAAGTGGGGGAATTTCAACCCCGGTCTCTCCCGAGTCCTCGGTGGAATCTACAAACGTACATATAAAAAACGTTCTGAAATGCATTTTTTTAAAAAGCGTTTTTAAGGGTATATTGAATTTCCCACAAGACTCACCATCGCCATCTACTGTCACATTGTATATTGCCCTAAAAAGACAAATAAACAAATAAAAAGACAAATAAAAACGTTTTGTTTGCAGCTGTGGAGCGGAGTCCCTGGTATGACATTCTAAATCACTACACCTCCACCGCCATGTAAAAGATAACCGTTAAATGCTAATTAAACTGCAGTAGAATTAAAGCAATATAAAAAACCCTCCCAAATCCATTAAAAGATAAAGAAAACAACACAGCCTTTCCTTAAAGAACTTTCCTCCTTGGCGCCCCTCCTGCCCTTCATAGAATCGTAGAGTTGGAGGGAATCTCCCCTAAATCATCCTTCATCCAACTTCTGAATTTATTTATTTTTTAAATATTTATTTAAGAGAAGACATACACTTCAACAACACAGAAGAAGGAAAGAAGACACGACGACTGAAATAAAATTAAACACGCAAAATGCAAATACGGGTTGTTTTATTTTATTTGAGAGAGGCAGAAAACGATGCGTGGAATTATCCCGACTCCCTTTTGAACGGCGATGGCAACTTCGGATCAGCAACTTTGGTACCCGCTTTGCAGTTGCGCAAGATGATAAACTGACACCCCCCCATCCCACCCTGGTGCCCAAGGTGGTCCCTACCTGGCTCCCTTTGCCCCCCAACCTGGACCTACCGGGGGCTCCCTCGCCCCGGTCCCCGCTCCCCCCTCTGGCGGTAGGAAGGATGCAGGAGCGCCCGGCGGTTTCCTAGCAACCGCGGGATGCGCTTTCCCCGGCCACTCCGCGCTGACCCACATTCGGCTGCCAGCTCTGAGCCTGGGGGTTGCTAGGCAACCCCGCCAGTTTTCCTCCCATCACGGGGACCGGGGCGGGGGGGGGGAGAGACCCTACAACAATAACAACGTTCCTGCGGAGACATTTGCAGCCGTTCTGGGGCTTAAGGGATAGGGTCTTGGGTTGGGTGGGGGGCTGGAAAGAGAGGAGGAGGAGGAGAATCAGCAGAGCAGGCTGGCGAGGTGTGGGGTGTTTGCAGGGGGATAGAAGGGGGTGGGGGGTGGGAATCCAAGCTCCCCACTGCCACATCACTTTTTCTCCGTTTCTCCGCGCTGCTAAAACCGAATCAGGCGGCTGACCTTTCGCCTTGTCAGAAAAGCGCAGAGTCCTTGTCAGGAAGGAGAGCGAGCAAGCGAGAAAACGTGAGGACCGAAGGAGGGTTGAGTGGATCAGGCCCATCTAGTCCAGCGTCCTGTTCTCGCAGAGGCCAAATACCCCCTAAGAACCGAGGGGTCCAGGTAGATTGCTTCTGGACATGGAGGTTTCATGAGGACATAGAAGAGTTTGGGTTTGATATCCCGCTTTATCACTCCCCTTCAGGAGTCTCAAAGCGGCTAACAATCTCCTTTCCCTTCCTCCACCACAACAAACACCCTGTGAGGTGAGTGGGGCTGAGAGACTTCAGAGAAGTGTGACTAGCCCAAGGTCACCCAGCAGCTGCATGTGGAGGAGCGGAGAATCGAACCCGGTTCACCAGATTACGAGTCTACCGCTCTTAACCACTACACCACACTGGCTCTAACATGTTATAAGTTTAACATAAGTTTGTTAAAGTTGCTGAGCGTTGTTCCAGGAGACCCTGTGTACTGCCCCCCATAAGAGCTACAATTCCCAGAGTTCCCTGAGAAGAGGGATTGATGGATAAACCACGCTGGGAATTTTAGCACCAGGAGCAGAATACCTAGAACTGTCGGCGCCCTAAGCAAACTACAACTCCCAGAACTTATTTGGGGAAGCAGTGCCTGTTTAAAGTGGTATCACAGCGCTTCGGATATATGGTGCAAGTGTGGCTTCAGAGGGCTTGAGTCACTCTTCAAAAGCATTTCTGGGAAGTGTAGCTCAGCTAGGGGAATAGGGGTCTGCTAAGAAGTCTCAGCACCCTGAGCATCCATCGCCTCTCAACGGCTTCTACTGCCAGAAAATTCTTCCTAATGTTTAGTTGGCATCTCCTTTCTGGCCATTTGAATCCATCGGTTCGGGTCCCAGCGTCTGGAACAGTAAAGGGGTTGGACTAGATGACTCCCTTCCAAACCTACGATTCCTTGCTACAATTAAAACAAGTGTGCATTTTTTTTAAAAAATGGTGCAAGTGAATCAGGACGAAAGCTCGTATGGAGGAGCCCCTGATCCAAATTTCCCAGACAGCCTCTAAAGGCTTGCAGTCTAATATCAGAAGGGGCCTGGAGACAACAAGCCTTGCCCTTGTTGTAAACAAAATCTTCCCTTTCCCCATTATGGGGTAACCAAGAGCCCATATAGAGTCCTTACGTGGGTTCCCTATTGGTAGGAGAAAATAACAGAGGCCAACCAGAGAATATTGAGAAGCAAAGCAGCTAGTAAGCCTGATCTTTATTGATCTGTTGCAACAGGGTGCTCCCCTCACACGCAAGAAAGGAGGAGGACCCAGAACAAAGGTGTGCCTGCCCTTATATAGACATTTTAAATTCCCTGCCCTGGAGCTCAAGACCCCCCCCCCCATACATCATACATACATCACAGAAGGGGTGTAACCCAAGACCACCCCCCAGATACATCATACCTACATCACAAAAAAGGCGGTCTACAGCAGAAATCTGAGTGCGTTGTTTATCTCGTCTGACAGGTTACCTGTTAATGCTCACTTGATTGGATACCCTGGGGAGCCTGGCCAGTCTTTTGTAATGATAAATACTTAGTTCCTGAGCCAGGTCACAGGCTCACCCTATTCATACACAGACAGACATACCCTCAAGACAGGATTTGTGAAGGAAAAGACAATGGGGAGGCTTTTCCATTTTCCTTTGACATTGCAGAGAAAACATTTGGTCAGTTTGGGAATCAAAAATGGTTTCAGGTCAGTCTTCCTGTGCTGATCTATGTACGTGCTTGGTTGGTACATTTATGAACATTTATTATATATCTAAGACTTTAAGATTCTTATCGCATCCTCACTGCCTCCTGTGGCAGGGAGTTCCATAGTTTCATCCCTGCCCTGCATGAAAAAAGGGTCTTTCACTGGATCAGAGGGATTTTTCAGCTGCAGTTTCCTGCATTGCAGGGGGTTGGACTACATGACCCTCGGGTGTCTCTCCCAACCCTATGATTCTCATGAGGTTAAATCTCAAAGTGGCGAGACGGCTGCCTCTCTCGTTCCCTGCTCTCACGCTGCTGTGTGGCACAAACCTTGCAATTTCACACACTGTGGCTGCGGAGATGCTTTTTGAACTGTTGATAACAAGCTGTAAGACCATTAGGGCTGTTTTTAAAAAAAGTGGGGGTGGAAAAACCAGAAGAAAGATTGGGAGCTTTTAAAGCTGCAGCCATGGAGGAAATTAGCACAGAGTTCGGGAGGTGATAAAGAGCCTTCAATAATTGGTATTAGTGGTGGTATTTGGATCAGAGCAGTGTTGCATTGCGGTTAGTTAGAGGGTTAGACTAGGACCTGGGAGACCAGGGTTCGAATCCCCGCACATCCATGAAGCTCACTGGATGACCTTGTGCCAGGCAACCTGGCCTACCTCACAGGGTTGTTGTACGCATAAATGAGGATAATAATAATATTATAATAATTTATTATTTGTACCCCACCCATCTGGCTGGGTCTCCCCAGCCACTCTGGGTGGCTTCCAACGAAGATTAAAAATACATTAAAATGTCACACATTAAAAACTTCCCTGAACAGGGCTGCCTTCAGGTGTCTTCTAAATGTCAGGTAGTTGTTTATCTCTTTGACATTTCGTGGGAGGGTGTTCCACAGGGCGGGTGCCACCACCGAGAAGGCCTTCTGCCTGGTTCCCTGTAGCTTTGCTTCTCACAGTGAGGGAACCGCCAGAAGGCCCTCGGAGCTGGACCTCAGTGTCCAGGCAGAACGATGGGGGTGGAGACGCTCCTTCAGATATACTGGACCGAGGCCGTTTAGGGCTTTAAAGGTCAGCACCAACACTTTGAATTGTGCTTGGATACGTCCTGGGAGCCAGTGTAGATCTCTCAGGACCGGTGTTATGTGGTCTTGGTGGCCGCTCCCAGTCACCAGTCTAGCTGCCGCATTCTGGATTAATTGTAGTGTCCGGGTCACCTTCAAAGGTAGCCCCACATAGAACACACTGCAGTAGTCCAAGCGGGAGATGCAGAGCATGCACCACTCTGGTGAGATAGTCTGCGGGCAGGGAGGGTCTCATCCTGCGTACCAGATGGAGCTGGTAGACAGCTGCCCTGGATACAGAATGGGCCTGCACCTCCATGGACAGCTGTGAGTCCAAAATGACTCCCAGGCTGCACACCTGGTCCTTCAGGGCCACAGTTACCCCATTCAGGACCAGGGAGTCCTCCACATCCGCCCACCTCCTGTCCCCCCAAAACAGTGCTTCTGTCTTGTCAGGATTCTACCTCAATCCGTTAGCCACCATCCATCCTCCATGGGGAGAACAATGGACTACACCTTAGAGAAAAAAGGTCGGCTAAAAATGCGATGAATGAATGATAAATTAATACCACCCCTTGCTTCAGTTGTTGCCACAACCCGTCCAGTTCCTGAAACTTTTCTCAGGGCTATGACCTGCGGAAAAATCAGCCAGTAAAACCTGCCCGGAGAACCTGGCTGGAGACATTAATTTTTATTTGTTCCATAAAATTCATACAGTGCTTGATTGTTTAAAAAATAAACCCTCAAAGCGATTTACAGAGAACGTAAGACAATAAATGTATCAAAAAGACAGATTAACAAGAATGACCTAAGACTTTTGAAAAGTTAAAATAACAAGAAAAGCAGATTAAAACTCACATCAACTCTCTAAATATCTGGGTAGGTTTCTCGAAACATTAATGTTTTCAGCTGGCGGCATTTTTTTAAAAATAAACTTTCTTCCAAACACTGGTCAAATTCCTTGAGATCAAGCTGGTGTTTTAAAGCAGAGAGACAGCCACATTCAAGCTATCATGAAAGGCACAGGCGCAGAGGCCAATTCAAAAGTTGGCAACCCTATCCGGCGGTGGCAAAAATGAAGCCCAGTGAAGATACAAATCTTGTTCTTCTTTTAATCTCTGAAATATTAACTGGATCTTTACATTGATATGCCGCTGTTCCAGGAGCTCACAGCAGCATGCTTCGTCTTAATTCCAGGGGTCAGCAAAATCTTTCAGCAGGGGTCCGGTCTACTGTCCCTCAGACCTTGTAGGGGGGCCAGACTATATATTTTTTTGGGGGGGGGGGGGGGAATGAACCAATCCCTATGCCCCACAAATAACCCAGAGATGCATTTCAAATAAAAGCACACATTCTACTCATGTAAAAACACGCTGATTCCTGGACGGCCGTGGGCTGGATTGAGAAGGCAATTGGACCGGATCTGGCCCCCGGGCCTTAGGTTGCCTACCCATGATTTAAACTGTACCACAGTCCTGCAAGGGAGGCATGGGCAGCGAACGAACAACTGGCCCAAGCTCACGATGGGGGAGATTTGAACCCAGACTGGAGGAGGGCAAATGTTGTCCCTATTTTCAAAAAGGGGAAAAGAGAGGACCCAAATAATTACCGCCCAGTCAGTCTGACATCAATACCAGGGAAGATTCTGGAGCAGATCATTAAGCAAACAGTCTGTGAGCACCTAGAAAGGAATGCTGTGATCACCAATAGTCAGCATGGATTTCTGAAAAATAAGTCATGTCAGACTAACCTGATCTCGTTTTTGACAGAATTACAAGCCTGGTAGATGAAGGGAACGCAGTGGATGTAGCCTACCTTGATTTCAGCATGGCATTTGACAAGGTGCCCCATGATATTCTTGTAAAGAAGCTGGTAAAATGCGGTCTTGACTATGCTACCACTCAGTGGATTTGTAACTGGCTGACTGACCGAACCCAAAGGGTGCTCATCAATGGTTCCTCTTCATCCTGGAGAAGAGTGACTAGTGGGGTGCCACAGGGTTCTGTCTTGGGCCCGGTCTTATTCAACATCTTTATCAATGACTTGGATGATGGACTCAAGGGCATCCTGATCAAATTTGCAGATGACACCAAATTGGGAGGGGTGGCTAACACCCCAGAGGACAGGATCACACTTCAAAACGACCTTGACAGATTAGAGAACTGGGCCAAAACAAACAAGATGAATTTTAACAGGGAGAAATGTAAAGTATTGCACTTGGGCAAAAAAAATGAGAGGCACAAATACAAGATGGGGGACACGTGGCTTGAGAGCAGTACATGTGAAAAGGATCTAGGAGTCTTGGTTGACCACAAACTTGACATGAGCCAACAGTGTGACGCGGCAGCTAAAAAAGCCAATGCAATTCTGGGCTGCATCAATAGAAGTATAGCATCTAGATCAAGGGAAGTAATAGTGCCACTGTATTCTGCTCTGGTCAGACCTCACCTGGAGTACTGTGTCCAGTTCTGGGCACCACAGTTCAAGAAGGACACTGACAAACTGGAACGTGTCCAGAGGAGGGCAACCAAAATGGTCAAAGGCCTGGAAACGATGCCTTATGAGGAACGGCTAAGGGAGCTGGGCATGTTTAGCCTGGAGAAGAGGGGGGTTAAGGGGTGATATGATAGCCATGTTCAAATATATAAAAGGATGTCACATAGAGGAGGGAGAAAGGTTGTTTTCTGCTGCTCCAGAGAAGCGGACACGGAGCAATGGATCCAAACTACAAGAAAGAAGATTCCACCTAAACATTAGGAAGAACTTCCTGACAGTAAGAGCTGTTCGACAGTGGAATTTGCTGCCAAGGAGTGTGGTGGAGTCTCCTTCTTTGGAGGTCTTTAAGCAGAGGCTTGACAACCATATGTCAGGAGTGCTCTGATGGTGTTTCCTGCTTGGCAGGGGGTTGGACTCGATGGCCCTTGTGGTCTCTTCCAACTCTAGGATTCTATGATTCTATGATTCTATCCCTCCCAGGACCTTGCTTGACGCTCTAACCCATGGGTAGGCAAACTAAGGCCCAGGGGCCAGATGCGGCCCAATCGCCTTCTAAATCCGGCCCGCGGACGGTCTGGGAATCAGCGTGTTTTTACATGAGTACTATTGCAGGAAAGCCCCCCCCCCCACATTCAGTTTGTACAAACACGACACACACACACACACACTCACACACGACATACGCGACGTTTCTGTTATAAATTCATAGTAAATCAACCATACATCGGATTTACACCGGTCCACGTTTATTTTGCTCCATGGAGGAAGGACTATCAAAGGGGGATGGTTTGATACAGGACGGCCATAATCCCTTGAGCGTACCAGCACATACACAGGAGCCCTGCCCAGTTGCTATGCCAACCTTGATGGTCCTAGACAGAAGACCATCAAGGTCACAAAGGGCTTGCATATGGGAGTGGATTCAACATGGACTGGAACAAAGAACAATGATCAGATCTTCCCTCTGGGGGCAGGAAACTGCCAACTCCCCTTTGTCCTTTGGAAATGACTCATGGGGAGGGGGAAAGGAAGAACCAGGCAGGTGACAAGATACTCAGGTTACCTCCACAACTCCTCCCTCAACCCCTCCTTTCTGTGATGTGTCAATGATGTAGTCATGATGTAGTTGTGATGTACGGTAGTTCTAGGGGTGTAGTTTGGGGGATTAGTAACTAATAAAAGTTTGGGGGCTCTTTTGCTCTGGGCTTCCATTTGTTCTGGTGGCAGGTGGGAGTCCTGTCGCGACAGTCTTCAGTAAAGACCAAGACTACTGGCTGCTGTTTTGCTCTGGTATTCCTGGCTGGTGTCCTTGTTTTATTGTCCAAGGGAGCCCTCGGATATCTCCGTTAACAGTAGAATGTGTGCTTTTATTTAAAATGCATCTCTGGGTTCTTTGTGGGGCATAGGAATTCGTTCATTTTCCCCCCTTCAAAATACAGTCCGGCCCCCCACAAGCTCTGAGGGACAGTGAACCGGCCCCCTGCTGACCTCTGCTCTAACCCCTGTGTCTGAGTTCCCCAGAGCATGTACAGAAGTCCTTCCCTTTGGGCATAGAAGCGAGGCTCCTGGGACAGAGGCACGGGTTGCTAGAATGTGAAAGCGCCTTTTCCTAGGAGATGGAGTGTGGTAGGAAATTGCTGGGTGGAAAGTCAAGGGTGGGAGAGAGACATGAGATTAGCTGCACATCAGATGTCCCAGGCCTGGACACCTCTCACTGCAAATTAATTCCTGATGGCCCAAAGCTGTTGACGAAGGGATCTGTGTCTGTGCTCCAGGTGCTGGGCCCCGATGAAGATGGATAACGCGGCGTCTTAATTAGTGCACCATCGATTGGACGGAGCGGCCTGCGACTCCGAAGATCTTGGTGCGGCGGCTCGAGTGATTGATTGGCAGCTGTCAGAAACTCAGCATCCTGGAGGGCCTTTTGGCCTGTCTCATTCGATTTGGATCCAGCGATGAGTGGCGTGCCAAAGCAGGATTGGCAGCTTGTGGTGGAATCCCAGCTCTCAACTGCTACCTACCCCCCCAAAAAACCCAGCACCCTTTGATGCCTTTTCCGGTTTTGGAAAGGACAGGCGAGCAATGAGGACTATAGACTTGAACGGGAACGTCGAACCATTCTGTAGGGCTGGCTCTGCTGCCAGGAAGGGCACAGCAGCCAGCTCAGTGGGTAGGTGTTGTGTGTGTGTCAGATTTTGAAAGTTGGAGTGTGCAGGGTGTACTCTTGTTCAAATTGTGCGAGAGCACAGGAAGGGATTGAATACTATCTGAAATATGCTTGGAGTTGAGTGTGAATTTCATGCTCTTTATTCAGCTCATAGGGACACAGGTGGCGCTGTGGGTTAAACGACAGAGCCTAGGACTTGCCGATCAGAAGGTCGGCGGTTCGAATCCCCGCGATGGGGTGAGCTCCCGTTGCTCGGTCCCTGCTCCTGCCCACCTAGCAGTTCGAAAGCACATCAAAGTGCAAGTGGATAAGTAGGTACCGCTCCGGAGAGAAGGTAAACGGCGTTTCCGTGCGCTGCTCTGGTTCACCAGAAGCGGCTTAGTCATGCTGCACACATGACCCGGAAGCTGTACGCCAGCTCCCTCGGCCAGTAAAGCGAGATGAGCGCCACAACCCCAGAGTCAGCCACGACTGGACCTAATGGTCAGGGGTCCCTTTACCTTTACCTATTCAGTTCATAGTAGCAATGAATGAAGCTTTCCCTAAAACGTCTAGCTATATATACATTATTTACACAATGGGCCTCACGTGATTGGCTAATTCCGGGCTGCTCCTATAGGCCAATCAGGTTGTGGATTCACCTCTTCCAGAAGCCTGATTGGCTGCTCCTGCAGGCCAACCAGGTTGCTGATTCACGTCATCCAGGAGCTGGATTGGGTGGCTCCTGCGGACCAATCAGACTGCTGCATTCTGGATCCTATTGTTCTAGGATTCAGCTCAGTACATAACACTAGATAAGATCCCTTTTGCATTTAGACTGGCCTCCCTTACTTCTTTTTCTGGAGGCCTGTGAGGAGTGATTGTGGATCCTTGAGTGTGTTTGCATGAGAACTCTGCACATGCCCCAGAGACACTCACTCCCTCTTGCTTTGCGAGGAGCAAATCAAGCCCATTTGCTGCTTGGGTGTTTCGAACTCGGTTGTAAACCATCTAAGCCAGCCTTTGGCAACCGGGTGCCCCAGATAATGGGAGTTGTAGTCAAAAGCATCTCAATGGCACCCAGTTGCCTGGAGACCCTCCTGTATAAGATGACTAACAGGTTGAATTAATAATAAAACTGAGAAATAGCAGCAACATCTGCCTGCCATTTGTACAGATGCCAGTTTTTAAATCTCTGTTAACAAGGAATTTCACCTTTTAAAAGGAGGCAATGGAACCAAGGGGGTTTGAACATCTCTAATAGGTACCGAGTTCCGGTTTAGGAGCCCAGCAAAGAGAAGCATTGCCCTCTAGTGCTTAGTAAGGGGGAATGCACTTCCATTTATCTTTAGCTCGAGAGGACAAGGGTGTTTTTCTACATATCCCCTTTAATATATTTCCAAAGGCATTCACTTTCCTCTCTGAATGAGCTCATAAAACTCTCTGGTTTAAGAGAGGGCTTGTTAAAAGGCTTTAGACTAAGAGAATGTATTTGTTTAAATCAATTTTATGCCCGTATATGAGAGGGGTAGCTAATGCGGCAGAAGGTAATCGAGATTCAATATTGCCTTAACTGATTGGAGAATTGGGCCCGAACTAAGAAGCTGAATTTCAGCAGGGACAAATGCAAGGTTCTGCATTTAGGAAGAGCCAGCTGCACAAATTTAGGATGGGGGAATATCTGGCTTGACAGTGGTACATGTGAAAAGGATTTAGGGGTCTTAGTGGACCACAAGTTGAACAAGAGTTAAGCGTGTGATTCAGCAGCAAAAAGAGAAAAAAGGCTGCATCAACAGAAGTCTAGTGTCCAGAGCAAGGGAAGTAATGTTGTTGTTGTTTAGTCGTGTCCGACTCTTCGTGACCCCCTGGACCAGAGCACGCCAGGAACTCCTGTCTTCCATAATAGAATAGAATAGAGTGGGACTATTACTTCGCTGTTAAAGCTATGGTTTTCCCAATCGTGATGTATGGAAGTGAGAGCTGGACCACAAAGAAGGCTGATCGCTGAAGAATGGATGCTTTTGAATTCTGGTGCTGGAGGAGACTCTTGAGAGTCCCATGGACTGCAAGAAGATCAAACCTATCCATTCTGAAGGAAATCAGCCCTGAGTGCTCCCTGGAAGGACAGATCCTGAAGCTGAGGCTCCAAGACTTTGGCCACCTCGTGAGAAGAGAAGACTCCCTGGAAAAGACCCTGATGTTGGGAAAGATGGAGGGCACAAGGAGAAGGAGACGACAGAGGACGAGATGGTGGGACAGTGTTCTTGAAGCTACAAACATGAGTCTGACCAAACTGTGGGAGGCAGTGGAAGACAGGAGTGCCTGGCGTGCTCTGGTCCAGCGGGTCACAAAGAGGCGGACATGACTAAACGACTAAACAACAGCAATAGGCAAGCCAGATATTCTCGACCATCTTATATTTGTGTAGCTGGTTCTTCCTGCCTAAGTGCAGAGCCTGACATTTGTCCCTATTGGAATTGCAACTCAGTGGAAAACAGCCCATAATCTTACACTAGATGCTTAGGTATCTCTCTCTCTCTCTCTCGCTCTCTGGCTACGAGTGGGAAAATTATGCATAATTTGAGATGTTGACTCCAGACATTTTTTATGTGACTTGGCATCCCTATATTACATGCACAGCGGAGCCATCATTTCCCAGGCAACCTTTGCCAGAAGCCCAGCAAATGTGGGGCTCAGCTTGATAATCGGACAACGCTGATATTCCTCACTTGGGCTTTTGTTATTTGAACCCATGTGCAACTGTGCTCATTCCAGGTGCCTGTTTCATAGCTTTGTTTTTCGTCTTTTAATTTCCACCTGTTATATTTGTTCTCTCGGTTTTATATACATGATGAAATGAAAAAACTTTATGAAAAGAAAGAACGACAAAGGGACAATTCTGGGCACACTTACAGGTGAAACTCAGAAAATTAGAATATCATGGAAAAGTTCATTTATTTCGGCTCCCCAAATCTCTTTTCTGATGAGAGCAGCTTTTGCATCTCATTTGGAAACCAAGGACCCAGAGTCTGGAGGAAGAATGGGGAGGCACACAATGCCAGATGCTTGAAGTCCAGTGTGAAGTTTCCACAGTCTGTGTTGATTTGGGGAGCCATGTCATCAGCTGGTGTTGGTCCACTGTGCTTCACTGAGTCCAGGGTCAACGCAGCCGTCTACCAGGAGATTTTGGAGCACTTCATGCTTCCTTCCGCAGACGAGCTTTATGGGGATGCTGACTTCATTTTCCAGCAGGCCTGTGGCACCTGCCCACACTGCCCAAAGTACCAAAACCTGGTTCAATGCCCATGGGATTAGTGTGCTTGATTGGCCAGCAAACTCACCTGACCTGAACCCCATAGAGAATCTATGGGGCATTGCCAAGAGAAAGATGAGAGACATGAGACCAAGCAATGTGGAAGAGCTGAAGCCTGCTATTGAAGCATCCTGGTCTTCCATAACACCTCAGCAGTGCCACAGGCTGATAGCACCCATGCCACGCCGCATTGAGGCAGTAATTGATGCAAAAGGGGCCCAAACAAAGTACTGAGTACATATACATGCTTCTACTTCTCAGAGGTCCAGTATTGCTCTATTTGCAGTCCTTGTTTTGCTGATTTCATTTAATATTCTAATTTTCTGAGATTGTTAATTTGGGGTTTTCATCGGCTGTACGCCATGGTCCTCACAATTATAACAAATAAAGGCTTGACATATCTCGCTTTGCATGTCACGAGTCTATCTCATATATTAGTTTCACCTTTTAAGTTGAATTACTGAAATAAATGAACTTTTCCACAATATTCTAATTTTCCGAGTTTCACCTGTACTAGAACCCAGGTTGAGCTCAGGTAAGGAAAACTGAGACCAGGTCTGCCTGAGCACAGGACCTGCCCGCATTGCTATCTCAAAGTATTGATTTGTGTATGATAGTTCTAATTCAGCAAGAGTCTGACAATGCTTTGCAAATCTCACTGCAGTGGGGTTGGTTTAGTAAGTTGTTATATCCTGGGGACCTGTGCGGTCCTTGATTCTGCCTGGTCGCTTTGAGAACACTGTCCCACCATCTCGTCCTCTGTCGTCCCCTTCTCCTTGTGCCCTCCATCTTTCCCAACATCAGGGTCTTTTCCAGGGAGTCTCCTCTTCTCATGAGGTGGCCAAAGTCTTGGAGCCTCAGCTTCAGGATCTGTCCTTCCAGTGAGCACTCAGGGCTGATTTCCTTCAGAATGGAGAGGTTTGATCTTCTTGCAGTCCATGGGACTCTCAAGAGTCTCCTCCAGCACCAAGCTACCAGCATGAGTTTGACCAAACTGTGGGAGGCAGTGGAAGACAGGAGTGCCTGGCGTGCTCTGGTCCACGGGGTCACAAAGAGGCGGACACGACTAAATGACTAAACAACAACAACAGGGAAGCCAGATATTCTCGACCATCTTATATTTGTGTAGCTGGTTCTTCCTGCCTAAGCGCAGAGCCTGACATTTGTCCCTATTGGAATTGCAACTCAGTGGAAAACAGCCCATAATCTTACACTAGATGCTTAGGTATCTCACTCTCTCTCTCTGGCTACGACTGGGAAAATTATGCATAATTTGAGATGTTGACTCCAGACATTTTTTATGTGACTTGGCATCCCTATATTACATGCACAGTAGAGCCATCATTTCCCAGGCAACCTTTGCCAGAAGCCCAGCAAATGTGGGGCTCAGCTTGATAATCGGACAACGCTGATATTCCTCACTTGGGCTTCTGTTATTTGAACCTATGTGCAACTGTGCTCATTCCAGGTGCCTGTTTCATAGCTTTGTTGTTCGTCTTTTAATTTCCACCTGTTATAATTGTTCTCTCGGTTTTGTATACATGATGAAATGAGAAAACTTTATGAAAAGAAAGAACGACAAAGGGACAATTCTGGGCACACTGACTAGAACCCAGGTTTAGCACAGGTAAGAAAAACTGAGACCAGGTCTGTCTGTGCACAGGTTCGTTTTAAAGCCTCATTGGACCTGCCTGCATTGCTATCTCAAAGTATTGATTTGTGTACAATAGTTCAAATTCAGCAAGAGTCTGACAACGCTTTGCAAATTTCACTGCAGTGGGGTTGGTTTAGTAAGTTG